TACACCCTGACCTTTCATCTTAAGACACTTTTCATACCACCACACCCTGACCTTTCATCTTAAGACACTTTTCATGCCATCACTAACTAAGAATTGAAACCACCCAATCAATATTCAATCTTTGAGACATATAGCAAAAGGAAAGAGCGTATAACATTCCAAATTACCTTCTCAAGCATTTCAGTCCACATTTACCATCATGTGAAGTATCATCTGGCACTTAATGTTAGATTTCAATTTCTCATTTTTCCAGCTATTCTCCCAAAATCAGGGAGAAAGAATGCATTTTTCAAAGACAAACAGTTCCATATCATAGAGAAACAAAAAAGGCCCCAAATATAGGGTCCCAAATCACAAATTAAATTAGCATTCACAAGAACAGATCTGCAGCCAAAAAAAGAAAAAAAAACAACCGAAATTTTGCAGTCAACCATTTCTAAACAGACTAAGACAAACTCTTATCAACGCAAAAACAATCAAGATAAAGAAAAATTAAGCAATTTCAAATGTCATTACCCTTGGCCGTCAAGATTGCCCTGGCTGCCACCATTGGCTCCACCTCCAGTAGCATAGGACCCATCATCCGCCGCACTCGTCTGCCAAACCGACTGCCAGGCCTGCGACGGCGGAGGCGGCGGCTGCACATAAACACTCGGATCAACAGCAGGCCTGCCGATCATCACTCCAGGAGGAGCAGGCTGGCCCAAGGGGGGGTAATAGTAAGGCACCCCACTAGCAGCGGACCCCACAGGAATTCCTCCCGGTGCCATCCCAACTCCGACGCCGACTCCCAGTCCGGCGGCCTCATCCTTGATCTCATCCCTTGGCACAATGTCGACCAAAAAGTCGAAAATGTCAGTCCTAGTAATGGCCGCCGCAATATCGTTCTTCTGGAGGGTCCTCCTCTTGTTCTCCTCGGCGTGGAGCCAGGAGCGGATGGTCAGCTCCAAGATGAAGAGCTCGCAGGCTTTGGCGAAGAGAATGGGGGCCTCAGCGGAGATCATCCGGACGTCTTCGTCGGCCTTCATGATTTTCTTGATCCGGGCTAATGGCAGCTGGTGATTCTTAAAGTCGTTCACTTGCTCGATCTCTTGTCTCTGGTAGTTCCAGAACATTTGAAGCTGTTGCTGCTGTTGTTGGAGAAGGTGGTGGTACGGCGGCTGACCTGGGTATGCAGCAGCCGAGGTCTGCGCTGCCGCCGCCGCGGCCGCAGCCGCTTGGGCTTGCTGGGAGTTGTTTTCCATGGGGAAGTTGGGGATGAGGCTCTGAGAGCTTAGTAAAGTAGTGGTGACTTTGATGGTTGTCTTTCTCAGCTTTTTTTTTTCCTTATTATTTCCTTACAAGTACTTATTTAATGTTTCACTTGGGTTAATTTCAGTTTGCATCCCAAACTTGTACTCCTTCCGTCCCACTTTGATAGTCATGTTTTCATTTTTCGTCTGTCCCAAATTGTACTCCACCTTCCAATTGAAGAATGTAGTTGCATTTTAATTTTCCTAAAATATCATTATTTAATGTAAATTATTGTTATTATAAACCTATCCCATTTAATGAGAGTTGATTCTTTTTTACCATCAATTCAAGTTCCCATAAAGTTGTACTCTAATTAATGTAAGGGTATTTTAGAAAAATAGCTACCTAAATTGATTGTTTCAACAAAATTAATCACTTTTTCTTAATCCATGTGAAAAAGAAATCAGAACTATCAAAGTGGAACGGAGGGAGTATCATTTTTTCACTTTACATTATAAATTAGTTTTGTACCCATTCATTGAATGGGAATTGTCTAAAAATAATAATTTATTTAGTGTAGTTCATAAAAATATTTGCATAAAATACAAACTTATTGTATAACCTATTATAACCTTTCTTAAATACATTGTTATTCAAAAATAATCTTATAATGTAAATTTAACACCTAATTCAGTGATTAAGAATTCAAAAATGCCAAAAAAAAAAACAATATGATGATATTCAAAAACTTGAAAATAGGGAAGATGAAATCTTGGCTGATCTTCTGTAAACAAAAGAATGGCCAACCCGTTACCAAAACATTAATTTTGATACTTAATATAAATGATTTAAAGGTTAATGTGAAAAGAAAAGAAGCCGAATGTAATATTAATAAAAAATAAGAATTCAAAATCAATCAAGTTATAGGAACACAGCAACATTCTAAATCTGTTCATGGCTAATAGAAACCAAAACGAAAACATAAGATGTATTTTGCTATTAAGTCAAAAATATAAAAAATTTAAATAGTCTAATGTATATTGCATGACGTGAACTGCTGTATGACAATGAACTTGATGCCTTGCCATTTATGTAATCAGTGACACCTTTTTGTTCTTTAGAAGCTTTCTACCAAAGTCTACAAAAAAAACATTGAAAACTGCACAAAATTTTTTTAACCCCAGAAACCTAGAAAATAAAAAAAATTAATACGTTATTGAAGACAATTAATAAATTGTCAAAGGCAATTAAAAATTTGTGTGAAAACACATAGTTTAAAAGACCACTTTTAAATCGCTAACCAAAAAAGCAATATGTGTTCTACTTGAATTGAAGAGTGAATTCATAAATTAAAATAACAAATTAATTACAAAAACCTTGCCAGAAATAAAAACCAAACTGTAACTTTTGAAAACTTAGAAAATTCAAATTCAATGACCTAACTATGAAGAAGGTGTAGGAAATTACAGACCATATACAGTAAGTATAAATAAAGTCCAAATGCGGTCCTTGCATTGAAGGGAATAAAAACGAAGTTCCAAATCCGGTCCTTGCATTGAAGTTAAAAAAAAAACTTTCCAAAAACATTGTGGAAAAGTGTAAACATCTGCACTGCTTGATAAAGTGATGAGTAATAGATCGATAACTATATATAAATGAGTAAAAATGTAGAGCATCTTCGATAGCGATAATCTGATAAAGATAATCTAATATTGGAATTGATATTTCAAACTTTTGAATTGAAGATGAGAGAGAGTTAAAAACATAATTCAAAATTATTTATACTAATCCCTTGGAAATTTAGGCTTGACGATTAGGGTTAAGGAAAAAAAAAAGGTGAGAGAATGGAAGAGATGATTATGGAAGGATTATCTAGAATTGTAAAGTCAAGAGAAAAAAGAGGGATAGAATAGCGTAGTTATTAGGGGATTGACTCATAAAGCGCGTTATATCTACTTACTACGTTGATAAGCCACGTAGGAAAGAGATAAACTAAAACGATAAGGATGAAAATGCGACTTTATTATATATATATATATATATATATATATATATGTGTGTGTGTGTGTGTGTGTATGTGTGATTTCAATTTTAAATAGGAATAATTTTAGAAACTTCCCCTGAGGTTTCTAACAGTCTCAATCACCTTCCCTGAATTTCTGAAATTCTCATCTACCTCCCCTGTCAGATTATTGGGACTCAAATATGACATCATGGATGATGAATTGATAGAAATATCCCTGCTGTTATTATAATATATTCTGATAATGGGATGAAATAATTAGTGAAAAGAGTAATACATAGGATTAACTAAATTAACTAGAATTTGGATGCAAAATGAATTCCTAATTTCGGTTTAGAGAAAAGGAGCCAAAAATGGGCGCCCATTTGCTTGTTGATATGACAATGAGAGCTGACTGATCGTTTATTTTGGTGAGTAATAGAGCTTCATCAGTCATATTGAGAAAAGGCAGAGCATTTGAAGTAGGAAAGGTGAAGTGGGACAATTGAAGAAATTGAGGTGAAGTTTTGCTGGAAAAGGTGAAGTACTACAGTTATGAGAGCATCTGAAGCAAAGCAAGGTTAGATACTGTAAATTGTATAAAAACTACGTACTGACTGCTGAAGATGTTAAGCTGTGTGTCATTGATCATGTCTTCTTATTTTTGGGCATTTGCTCTGTGTGATGTGGCGTGTTAAAGTTGATTTTATACAATGTTTTCATAATTTCTGGTTATAATAGTTATAAACTAGAATGTGTATTCATGCATATATGATGGTGCTGTTTATATGACTCATAGAAAGTGGTTTACATGAGGTCGGAGGAGTTAGTGTGAGCTAGTATTATATGTTTTGTACGTTGAAGTTCATAAATGGTGATCTGACATTGTAGGATGGTGACTGGTGATATTCATGACATTGTACTCCATTGTGAGAGGACAAAAGTACGAATTCCTAATATAAATTCTCAAAATTATTTGTTCATTAATCTGCCGAATGATGTTGCCGAGAAGGCATTACATGAAATGCCTGCAAATGTTAATTTTCTTCTACATATGAGATGTGCAATACCTGGAACAGAAGGTTACATTGATGTGAATGATGATGAAGCTGTCCATGAAATGTTCAAGTTGTATGAAGGTCAACTAGTCATAAACATGGAAATATTCAACATGGACATTATCCCTGCTGAACAGGATGACATGTTGTTGAACAGAAAGATTGGTGGTGACCATGAGAATTTAGAAATCCAGGAGCATAATGTTCATGTTATTGACAGTCAGGATGAGGGGTATGTTTGTGAATCTAACTCTGATGAATCATGAAAGCAAGGATTTTGATGATAACAATGAAGAAGATATAGATGGCGAGCATATGGCACTGTCCGATTGTGATAGTAGTGATGAAGATTTCTTGAGTTTGATGATAATGAAACTGGTGAAATTGTACCAGATTCTGAATCTGAGCAAGAAATTAACCCTTTTAAGAGATGTGTTAAGATCAAAGATGTGAACTTACAATCCAAAAGAGGATATAGATTTTAAGAAGGGACAGCTATTCATTAATGTTGGTGCCTTTAGAGCAGCATTGAAGGATTATGTGATCCAAAAAGGGTTTCCCATCAACATCAAAAGGCTAAAGAACAAGAAAACTAGGTGTACTGCCATCTATGATGTTGATGGATGTAGTTGGAGGATTCATGCGTCCCCTGTAGCTGATTCAGTAACATTTATGATTAAATCATACAACTTGAACACACATGTGTGATGGATAACAAAAATCGTGAGGCCACCTCTTATTGGATGGCCAAGAAACTTCTTATTGTGATGAGAACCCATCCTCACTTGTCAAGAAAAGGCATTGAAGCTGAGATGCTAAAATATGGTGTTCATTCTAACAAACAGCAAGTGTATAGAGCCAGACAAAAAGCCAGAGAAGAGATTGAAGACACATATGTTGAATCATATAGTAAGCTGCCAAAGTATGTTGTGCTTCTAAGGCAACATAATCCTGGTAGCATATGTAAGATTCATTATGATAGACCAAATCTACTAGTTGAACCAAAATTCCTGAGACTTTTTATTAGCTTTAAAGGACAGAAAGATGGCTTTTTAGTTGGTTGTAGAGCCTTTGTTGGATTTGATGGATGTCATTTAAAAGGTAGTTTTGGTCGAGTATTGTTGACTGCTGTTGCATTGGATGCTAATAACAGCATATTTCCCATTGCATTTGCTATTGCTAAGGTCGAAAACAAAGAGACTTGGAGTTGGTTCTTTCATTTCTTTGAAGAATTCTTTGGACCATTCCATAACAATATTTCCTTAACTTTCATGAGTGATAGACAAAAGGTATTATTAAACACTTTATCAGTTAAAATTTGTACAACTTGCTGTGTAGAAATGGTAGCCTCCACTGACTGGTTTTGCTTTTCATGTAGGGGCTGAACCTTGCATATGAACAGCTACTGCCATCTGTGACTGGAAGATACTGTTATAGACATATTTGCAGTAACTTCAAGGCTCAATTTCCTGGAATGTTACTGACCAGCTTCTTTTGGCAGGCTGCTAAGAGTTATGATGCAATTGGATTTAATGAAGCAATGCAAAGTATCAAGGACATGAATATAGAAGCATGGAGGTACTTATCCAAGATTCTAGTCTCTGCTTGGGCTAGGCATGCATTCTCAACAGAGATGAAATGTGACCATGTCACAAACAACTTCATAGAATCCTTCAATGCATGGATTGGAGACTTAAGGGGCCAACCAATACTAACCCTTGCTGAAGGTTTGAGGAAAAAATTTATGAAAAATTTGCACAAAAGGTACCAAAAGACTTGCACATGGACGTCTGCTATCCCAAAAATCATTATCTCAAAGCTAAAGGAAATTGCTCAGACTTCTAGGAGATGTTCATTGCAGATGGCAAGTGAGGATTTGTTTGAAGTTAGTGATGGTGACAGAGCATTTATAGTGAGTTTGAACCAGAAGACATGTGACTGTGGAGCTTTCCAATTGTTAGGACTCTCTTGCAAGCATGCTGCACTTGGAATTATATACAGAAGACAGAAATTGGAGACATACTGTGATCCTTGCTTCTCAACAGAAATGTATCTCAAGACATACAGTGGCATGGTCCATCCAATTCCTTACGAGAAGAGATGATCTCCATTACTTGATGTCACACCAAAAACTGTCCTTCCACCACCATTGAGACGAGGTCGTCCAAGAGTTAATAGAAGAAGAGGGCCTGATAAACCAGGTCAATCTCAAGCAAAAAGGTCAAGCACTATGAGATTTGGAAACTGCAAAGCTTTTGGCCATAATACCAGAACATGCCAAAGAGCACCTGTGAGACAAAAGAGTACAAGTAGTAGTGGCACTAAAAAGGTTCAGTCTAGTGATTTAATTGACAACAATGGTTTTGCTAAGCTAGCTTGTAATTTGTTATCAATTTTCATGTCAGGTTACTCAAAACAGAGCAAAGCCAGGAAGGGGAATTGCAAATACATGGCTTGAAGGATTTGTTCTATGGGTTACAATTATTTATTCTCACATAGCATATGATGTGATGATGACAGGGCACATTGGTACTAGTGCATGGGTTATTACTGCAGGATCATGTTGATGGCAATGTGCCTATTGTGGTTTCTAGTCAAGGCAGCAACCCAAGTCCATCAAGTCAATCTACTGCAATCAATGCTGAGTTAAATTTGCAAACAACAACCAATGCTACTAAGAGAAAGGTATTTGCTCCTTAATCCCTTTTACATTATATCTCCACTAATTTGGCTAATATACATGCCTGTATATTAATATATGCTTCGACCAAAATTTCAGAGAGAACGGCCTTCAAACAAATCTGCACCATCTACTGCACATAACTCCAATAAGAAAACTTCAAAAGCCGCACTTCAACCAATTGCAATTCAGCCTATTGCTACACTACATCCCAGTGGAAGTGCCCAAGTACAAACAGTTGTCAACATCAATGATTCAGCTACTCATGACTCTCACAATGTCAGTAGCAGCTTCACATTTTAGTAGTCTCTAATTAAGAGTCTTTTGTTATTTGGATAACACAGATACATAATATCTAATCATGAGGTATTAACATTGGAGAAATGTGATATTTGATCTTTTGGTGATCTGATTTGGGTATTTGAACTTTTAATATCTGATCTTTTGGAGAAATGTATCTTTTTGTATCAACCTGGATGCCTAAGTGGTGCCATTTGGCTGTTGTAGATATAAATTTCAGTCCACTCAAAACTTTTGTAATTCTGTAACTAAGTAGTATCAAATGGTTGTTGAACAGAAACTGAAGTTTAATTTGCAGTATTACTTCTAGACTGTGTTTTTGTTTAATCAATGCTTGTGGTATTCAATACTAACCTGGAAGCTTGTGTAGAGAATATGGTTCTTTACTATTATAAATCAGTTCTCATTTAATCTCTTTTACAATCAACATAAAGACATAAATAGCTAAAAATACAAGGTTCATTATAAGCAGCCATTTGACTATGGAGTTCGACTGGTCTATGTTGCCAATCTGCACTTGATCTTCTCTTTGCATTTTTGAATCTCTTTCTACTCTTTGGCTGCTTACTTTACCATCTTCAGACCCTTCGAACCACTGAAAGAATATCAACTTAAGAACATAAATAGCTATGAATACAAGGTTCATTATAAGTAGCCATTTGACTATAGAGTTCGACTGGTCTACTTTGCCAATCTGCACTTGATCCTCCCTTTGCATGCTTGAATGTCTTTCTGCTCTTTGGCTGCTCACTTCACCATCTTAGGCCCTTCGAACCACTGAAAGAAGTTGCAATTTGAGCAGTAGAAATAAAGCTTGTTTGGATTCCTCTGGCTCTCAGAAGTTTTAATGGTTGCTTTCCGATGACAATGGCAATATCTGTTTGTTATTGAAAATGAAGTTGGAGAATTCCATGATGAATCTACAGGGCTTGAAGAAGCCATGTGCAGCTGTTTGTAGCTAGTTCAGCTTATACTTCTTTGTTTACTTTTGTTTTACCTCAGCCACAACCCAACAACATGCATTATTATCTGTTGCAACTCCAGTTTGCAATTATATAGAGCTCCAAAGCAAGATTATTGTTTCTTTTTACCGTTACAAACAACTGGACAAAGAGCCGTTGGCATGAAGCAGAAGACAATTTCTTCTAGTCATCCTTGCCTTTTTCCATCAGTTTCCCATACACTCCCTGAAATTTCATTCTTGTTAGAAGCCTTTGTAGTATTCAACATAAACATCCTCACTAATGACAATATTGAGGGTAGAGGTGGAATTTCTTTATTTTCTCTCTCCTGATACATATTTTATATTCATTGTCCATCTCAAATGGGTTGAATTTGATACCATTTACTTAGTTTTAGGGGAGGTAGATGAGAATTTTGGAAGTTCAGGGAAGGTGATTGAGACTGTCAGAAACCTCAAGGGAGGTTTATGAAATTATCCCTTTTAAATAATTTACACTCTAAACTCTTAATTTTGAATACTTCACACCCTATTAAAATTTGAGTAAATCTTATATACACTGACAGTGTATATACTATCACCGTTTGATTCATGACATGTGTGCAAAAATTGAATTTTAAATTTAAATTTTGTATAGTTATCATTCATCCAATGCTAACAGCGTATACACTGTCAGTGTAGAAAAAATTAATCCTTAAAATTTAGGGTACAAAGTGATACAAGTTCGGAGGTACAACTTTATCAGTTTCATTTGGTATTAATTATGCTAGAAGCCTCTCCTACTTTTATGGATATCACAATTTTTTTTACCTAAGCTTTTTCAATTGTTATGTAGTATCAACATTCAATTTGAATCGAGAGATTTCACAGATCAAAACTTTTACTCTCTTTGATTTGAATATAAAGAGGGATTAAGTATAATTAAAAAAGTAAATGGGTAAACTCTAATATTTTATTTCTATTTTTATGGTTACTTAATTTGTCATAATTTTGTGTCGTTTATCTTCTTTTTCGCGGGGCCACTTAGTCGAATTGGGTCTTTAATTTGATTGAATAAGCACAAGACTCGTTAACTTGTCAATGGACTGGTGGTTCAACCAGATAAAATCGAAAATCCAACTGATTTTGTAAAGATTGGGAATCTGAAACTTTTTATTCTCTTCAATTAGATTATAAAAAAAGGGGTTAGGTTTAAGTAAAAATAAATAGATAGGCAAACTATGTAAACACAAATTTCATCGTCTAAAATAAAAGACAAGAAAACTTGCACAAATATCAAATTTATTAAACCAAATAATAAGTGGGTTACAATCTCTGAAAATTCTTGAACCAAAGAAATTAATCTCCTGATTCTTCTCTTCAAACAATTTTAACCGAAGGGTCGAAAACGCTTGTTCTCCGATCAAAAGATTGTTTCCTATGATTTTGGCGCAAAAAACGAATGATTTGATGATGGCGTTAAACACTTGAAACTTTAAGTCTTCAACGCCAATGGTAAGAGGATTTGTTTGACTTGATTTGGATTTGGATTTAAGGAAGAAAACTCTCGAGAGAATTTGACAGAGTTTCTCCAGAAGTTAGGAATTTTTTTTTGTCTTTTTACCTTGAGGGAAGACCTCTATTTATAGCTAAAATATGTAGATTAAATCTTCAAGAAAATCCTCAAAACCTTCCTGCATTTTGGGTAACTTGTCACTCAAAAAACCCATTTAACTTGAGCTTAAATAGTGGGCCAATCCAAACAGTCCATTATGAATTAATAGATGAATTAAGAGTGAAAGGTGTTTAATTGTTGAAGTGGGAGGCTCAACTCGTGATGGTGATATAAGGTGGAATCGGGTCGTCATGGACATTCAATGCTGTTTCCTTCCATTGTGTTATAATTTATCTGTTTTATGTGTTTCCTATATGCTTGAGTATATATTCTCGAAAACTTAACCACACTTGCACAGTTGGATCTCACTGGGCTGTTGAGCTCACACCAAATATGAACATTTTTTCCAAGAGCGAAGTTCAAGATAGACAGAACAAGAGATTGTCCCAACTTAGCAATGGACTTGTGCATATAGAAAATATACAAAATCTAGTGAATTTGAGTAGAGCTTAATTTCCGCAGCACAATGATGTAATGCCTTGAAGGCATAGATTATGAATTGTAAAAATGCTTCTTCAATTAATGAAAGTTATACTAATTTTTAAATTAGTAATTAAGTGAGTTCTGCAAGAGCTAAGCAATCCACTGCCAATTGAACTTTGAGGGAAGGGGTGGAGTTAGGGTATGACAAGTTCAACCAGATTAAACCAATAACCCATCCGATTTTATATAGATTGAGTATCTAAAACTTTTATTCTCTTCGATTCAATTATAAGGAAGGGTTAAGTTTAAGTAAAAATAAATAAATAAATAGAAAAACTATAATATGGACTGTTGACTTGTCAACAAACTATTATTTTTGTAGAAAACATTTTTGTAAGATGTTGGGTGATTCAAACGAAGGGCGCTATCAGCTCACACCAAAATATGAACCTTTTTTCCAAGGTGAAGTTTAAGGTAGACACAACAAGAGATTGTCCCAACTCAGCAATGGTACTTGTGCATATTGAAAATATACAAAATCTAGTGAATTTGAGTAGAACTTAATTTTTGCTGCACAATGGTGTAATGCCTTCAAGGCATAGATTATGAATTGTAAAAATGCCTCTTCAATCATTGAAAGTTATACTAATTTTTAAATTATTGATTGAGTGAGTTCTGCAAGAGTTAAGTAGTCCACCGCCAATGGAACCTTGAGAGAGGGGTGGATTTAGGGTATGATAGGTTCAACTAGATTAAACCGAAAACCCATCCGATTTTATATAGCTCGGGTACCTAAACCTTTTATTCTCTTCGATTCAATTATAAAGAGGGGTTACATTTAAGTATAAATAAATAAATAAATAGGCAAACTACAATATGGATTGTTGACTTGTCACCAAGCTATTGTTTTTGTGGAAAACAGGTTCAACTAGTTTAAACCAAAAACCCATCTGATTTTATATAGATCGGATATCTAAAATCTTTATTCTCTTCGATTCAATTATAAACAAGGGCTAAGTTTAAGTAAAAATAAATAGGCAAACTAATAATATGGTTGTCATCAAACTATTATTTTTGTGAGGTGTTGCAGTGGTTCGAACTAAGGACGTTGTGCATGTCAATAAAGAGCATTTGCCTCTAAGCCTAGCTCACACATTGGACAAAATGCCTTTGTATATCATATGAACTTTTTCAATCAATTCTTTGCTTTTTTTTTTTTAAAAAATTTCTCTAAAACAAATTTTCTTGGAATCTTTAAATAAAACTTATTACTCCCAAACTCTATAAATTATGAAATGGATTTAAAAAATGACATATTACAGAATTCATTTTAAAGACAAATATTGTTCCTAATAATCTTTTGCACTTAAAATTCGTAAATAAGTTAGGTAATTACACCAAAAATAGATAAAATTTTGAACTTGAAGGTTGGTAGATTACTAATTAAATTTAGGCATTGCTAATTCTAGTAAAAATTATTTATTTTATAACTGGTTAAATTAAATGAGCATTTGCTATGGGATATTTAATTAATTTCTATACTATATACCCTATATTAAAAATTATGCGATATAATATTTAAATATATTTAATAACCCGTCGGTTCAATCATTCATCTATTGGTTGAACCGGTAGCCTATTAACCCACCTCCTTCACAGAGGTTCCTCTCTGGACCAGGTTTAATGGCTATACGTAATTGGAAAGGAAATTGCACCAAAATGTTCACTATCTATGGAAATTCAGGATAGTCGTTTAATTGCTTAATTGTACAAGTTTGTCATTGAGAGTTGTAGTTTGCATATGAATATGCTAGTCCTTGGGAATTTCCTAGTTTTGAATTATGTGGGGTATTACTAATATACTATACTAATTGGATATGGTCTTTGAAAATTGGTTGAATTGTAATTGAACAATACTGGGATAGGAAAGACATGAGGCTATTAAAATTGATGCCAATCAATGGCCTAAATTGAGTCATGGTAAATTGAGGCTAATTAGTGGCCTGAATTGAGTCACAGTTAATGTGACCCAATTTGGACTGTTCAAACTTATTTTTCAGCAAAGTATATAGTTGGATTTAAAATCAATGGTTTAGATGGAACCAAGTCAATTTTGAGCTAATTTGGTCATTAACTGGCCTTTATTATTGATCTCGCAAACATAGAGGGTTTATATGTAAAGTAAAAGTAGTACTCCCTCCGTCCCGTTTTGTTAGTCTTGGTTTTTTTTCACACAGATTAAGAAAGTGTAATTAATTTGGTTGGAAACATAAATTTAGATTAATAATTTCCTAAAATACCCTTATGCTAATCACGAGGAGTGCATTGGAAAAATTCAATGTATTCAATGGAGTGGGTTAGTATTTAATAGAGGTGGCAAATCAACCCATTTAACTAGATTTACCCATACCCGCCCATGAATAGATGGGTATGGGTATCTTAAATTTTTGTATATGGGTATAAATGGGTTACCCAATAATACCCATTTAATAAATGGGTATTATTGGGTAACCCATCAAACCCAATTAACCCATTTAAAATTCTCTTCCCCCCAAGTCTCTTCTTTTCCCCTACCTTTTTTTTTTCAAATTTTTCATTTTGTCATGATGTTAATATTATTATTATTATTATTATTATTATTTGTTGGTTTTATCTTATTATTTTATTTATTCTTAGTTTGTTAACTTGCTCATTTTTTAGCATTACCAATTTATGATAAATTTTAGCCTATTTTCTTATCTTTATAAAATGAAATTTTAAATTTATATATGAAAAAAATGTTAGGGGTTCAAAATTTTTGGATTAAGTTTTTATATTAATTTTTATAGTACTTAATTCAAATTTTTATATTCGTATTATTCAGTTATTGAATAACTATTAATTTATTTTTAAAAGCAAGTTTTGTCTAAAAAATTCAATGCTACTTAATTAATTCAGATGTTCAATTTTTTATTATTAAATATTTCTGAATACATTAAGATCTAATCCATTAAATTTAAATACTGAATTGAATTATTACACGGGCCTTATAACAAGTAAATGCCAAAGTTATATTATGTTGCGAGAAAGATTAAGAAAATGTGTCAGAAAAAAAAAGATTGAAGGGACACGTAGGGGTTCAGTTGCAAATAAAATAGGTTAAACAACAAAAATTGCTGCCTCATCAGGCCAGTCACTAGAGTAACAGTCCATAGATGAACAAATGAAATCGTGGTTTTTTGAACTGTTTCCTGCAAGCCCAAATCCAAATGGTGGCAGCATCCTCATGGTTACAGTCACTGTTGTCTCAATCCAAGCTCTTATTTTCCTCTCAACGCCTTCGAAAATATGGTTAGCCCTTTTTGCCATCTCTCTTTTCTCTTCTATTTTGTGCTAGTTCTTATATATATATATATATATATATATATATTCATCTGTTATGATTTTGCTTATGCTCATGAGTTAGATGATGATTCTGGTTGAACTATAGATGGGAAATCGTGGGTCTACTTCTTTTAAATCTGATTTTGTGTTTCTGGAAAATTAATCTGAAAGCAACGCAGAAAAATTGGAACTTTTTGTAAAATTGATCTGTATTCATCTGTTTCTTGTAGTGGCTTGTTAATTGCAAAAGATATTTCTTTTGGAATATTGATTTATTTCTGTTCTTTTTAATGTTTTAATAGTTGTTAATGAAACGAAAGGTTATCTTTGTAGTCACATTTAGCCTGTATATTAGTTTATCTAAAAGGAACCATGTATAAAACTTTTGCAGCAATCAAGATTGCAGATTTTTTTTTCTGCGCATTTTCTGTTTCTTTGTTTTATTTGCTTTTATTTTTTCGTAATTGGTTGTGGAGTTGGAGTTTTTATTGTGAAATTAGTTTTATTTATGTACTTGGCATTGTTCACTCAGGAATTCTTTTACTGGACTTCATCCAAGATGTTTGTCCGCGATAAATTTTAATCATGTGTGAAAGGCATTTTTAGAGAAAATTTAGGAAGGTTAATTGGTAAGATGTATCAGTTGTCCCCAGAAAATTTGCCATTAGATTGACTTCTACGGTCATCATCATGTTCACCTATCATTTGGACCTATGCTACCAGAATTGTTGCACTAACTGAAATGTGGAACACCAGTGTTGGTGTTCCATGCTTAAACTAATTTGTGTATCTAAAAATCATTTTCTTCTTTTACAGTTCAAGTGAAAGGTTGCACATGGACTGTTGTTCTGAGAAAGCTCTGTCTATTTGCTCCTCATAATTTGAAGAGTATCTCTGCGTTTTGGTTTAAAGAACTCTCTTTTGTGACAAATTGTGCTGCCTTCTGGGTGATCTTCTATTTCTTCTAGATGATCATATGAAGACTACCCCTGAACATCAATGTTTCTTGTTAGGTAGCATTCTACATTTCCCATCTTGTTCTGAGTCCAGGAAGGAAATGCGATATAGGTAACCTTGAATTGGATATACCTCCTTTTTATCTCTGCAAAATCTATTGGACATGTTTTCATGCCTGATGAAAGGAAGGATTTTGTGGGTTTGATAAGGTAACTATCCTTTGCTGTCACCTTTGCTGGTATTTTGTTATCCCCAAGAGAGATGGAGTTTAACTCTGTCATGAATCTGACAGGGTTTGGTCTTATCCAGAATGATTGATAATGTCAAACCTGTAGTATCAGTGGTGGGGAAATATCCTGAAAACTCAATAAAATTGCTGTAGGAGTGTTGTCTTTAATGATATCACGTTACCTCAAAAGTGATGGACTTTGACTCTGTCATTAATCCGATGGAGTTTGGTCTTATCCAGAATGATCAAGAATGGCACACCTGTAGTTTCAATGTGTAAAATAATCCTAAAAACTCAATACAACTGCTTTATGAGTGGACTTTTCTGAAGAAATCGTTAAGTATTTCATTGTTGGAGAATATGTATATTTGTTTTGGTGCCTATTCTTTGCTTGCATAACAGGCTTGTGGTGTTTTCTAGTTATTCTTTTCAATATGATACTTCTCCATTCTAGTCTGTACTTCATTCTATTATCAATAAAAGGTTCAAAGTTAGTCCTCAAAAAGGAGAAGAAATATCAAGACATAAATTTCATGGCTACTGTTGCAATTGGAATTAGCATTTAGCAACCTGCAAATAATGTTCACTCAGTGTAGAATGTGCGATTCTTTTTTTTCCTGAAGTTTTAAAGCTCCAGACTTTTCAATGTACTTTATCCCAGTCAATCTGAAGTCATTGATTTTTTTTACATTCACTGTCTTTGCCACTAACTTTCTTATGCACTTATCTGTCCTTTCCGCCAGGGTTTGCCTTAAGTGATTTCCTGACAGGAGCTAAAACTGGCCAGAAGTCAGTCAAAGACTCATTTCAAGCGAATGAAGATGGAGTAAGAATGAAGTGTTTGACAGATCTTGATGATGTTGAGAAGATCATAGGATACAAATTTATCAATAAGACCTTACTTAATCAGGCCTTTACACATCCATCATATAACAAGGGTTGTGCATCGTATGAGCGGCTTGAGTACGTGGGTGATTCAGTGCTTAATCTATTAATAGCAAAACAGCAATTTTCTCTTTATCCTGATCTTCCACCTGGATGTTTGACCCCACTTCGTGCTGCAAATGTTGACACAGAGAAGCTTGCACGTGTGGCTGTCAAGCATAATTTACATAAATATTTACGTCATGGGAAGCCGGCTCTTGAGAGACGAGTAAGTGATGGTTGAATATCCTAGTTTTCGCAGTTACTCTAATTCTGCTGTACTTCTTCTAGCAATTATTGACAACATAGAGATTGATGAGTCTTCAGGTTTCCCGTAATTTCTCTGTTCGAGATAGCTTTTGTACTTGTTTTTAAATAAGATTACTATTTACTTTGAGTAGTGTAGTTTTTGATGTTGATTTAGAGTAAAATAGATTGTTTCTTGTGGCCGAAACAAATTGGAAGGATGTTGGACTTTTGCCACTGTTAGGGTAGAGAAGTTGGTTTAGGCTGCTAACTAATGAAAGTTGGATTCTCCAAGAACTGTGGTTGGTGCATGAAATTCTATTCATGTCAGATCTCTTGTTCTCGTGGTTAGAGTTAATGGAGGAACTTTCATAAACAAAATATAGATAAAATCTGAGGATGTGTTTAAAATAGTGGAGATTGGAGATATAACTTGGAGAAAAAGTAAATTTGGTATCACACAGACAAACTTGCTTATATATGCATACAATTTAGACACTAAAACAGTGCTTATTGCTGTTGTATTGAAGTGGTCAGACACAAGCATTTAAGTGGAAGAGGCTAGTAAGCATTTTGTTGTCCCTATTTTGATTGGTTTAATGTAGGTGTCATTTTTGAACTGAGATCATTATGTGACATTGTGTCAAGAAGAATTTTCATGTGGCTATCTACTGCTTACAGAAAAAACTCTTCAAATCTCACCCAACCATCAAATGGTTGTCTTGTATTGGTCACAGCTGAGTGAGCATTAAAACAACAGCTGAGTGAGCGTTGTCATTCCATCAGAGCATATGGAACCAATTTTTAGGTCCATGTTAATGGAGCTAGCTGTTTTTGTTTTGTCTTTTCCTTTTTCCTTCTTGGCTAAGTAATTGAATTGGGTTGACAGATTCAAAGATTTATGGAGGTGCTTCCGAAATATCCTTTGCATTCCCATGGGTTGATTGATGCTCCAAAAGTGCTAGCTGATGTTGTTGAATCGACAATAGGAGCTGTGTTCATTGACAGCAATACTTGTATAGACACTACATGGGAGGTTTGCACATCCACTTTATCACTCAAATTTGTAACTTGTTGTATGAGGACTGTTGGCATCTAATTTTAATCAAATTACCAGTATCAAATTTGCTGTCTCTCATACTTGCTCTAAGTGTGTACATAAACTTGACAAATGCTTCTGATGTATATAGACTCCCATGGGGATTTTTTTTTGTCATTTTAAATCTGATTCCTATTTGTTTTCAACTTTTATGTTGATAAAATTGGCATAGTTCATTAACCATATATAGTGGTGGCTGCTATACTCTCAATTGACTGAAAGAAAGAGAGGATGAGAGAGGAAATTGCTGAGAGAATTAAAGTTCAAGAAGAAGAAGTTTTACGCCTCAGTGTAAGGGGACTATTTTTCTTGTTTAGCTAAATATAGCACTAATGCTTCTTATTTGCATAAATGATTGACAATTTTTTAAATTAGTTTTCTGTACATCTAATCTGTCATATTAAGAAATTAGTCATGGTGATAGAATGGATAGTCCAGGTTTTGTAGTTTCCATCCCCTACTTTTCATTGATTGTGTGGAAGGCTTCCAAAAAATTAATTGCCTGCTTTAGTTGTTTATCAACTATTTGAAAAATAGAAAAACAAATACGCATAAACAAAGAATTTGCACACTCACATCTAGCCATGAGCACAAGAATACGATGTACAATGTCTCTATCCTTTGCAACCTCTTGGATCTAAAATTACTTAGTTTCTGCATAACTTCTGTGTAATGCTTTGTGTAAACATAATCTTATGCAGTTTCATTCATTACATTCTCATCATGCATGAAAAATGGATCAAACTCTAAATAAATAATTAGATTTTAGCATTTCTACAACTGCAGCACACACTTGAAATTCTACATTTGGGCTGTTTCTTGCATGTTTTATCCGTTGCTTCTGATTCTTTCGTTCAGGTAACCAGCATTTTACTGGACCCAATAATCACACCAGAGATGCTCCAGATTAACCCTGTGAAGAAACTGTATGAGCTGTGCCAGAAGTATAAACTTACTGTTCGACTTGTGGATCTTTGGTCTAAAGAAGGAGCCTTTGAGGTTTTTGTTAACAACCATCTCAGAGGAAGAGGTCATTGCCATGCAAAGAAGGAAATTGCATTGAACAGAGCAGCAAATGCTGCATATAATGAGGTCCTTAGAATCTTGAGGGTAGAAGATATTAACACGGTGTAGCAGGTAGGTAGATTCTCAAAAAATCTGTGCATAAAAACTTCTCAATCATCTTCGGCACAAAAGGGATTAACAGGGGTGGTAGCAGCTAGGTAGATGCTCACAAAATCTGGTTGTAAAACTTCTCATTCTCCTTTTAGTCAGTTTGTACTAAAAGTTATCGAGTAAATTTTATATACACTGACAGTGTATACACTATTATCATTGGATTCATGATATGTGTGTAAAAGTTGAATTTCAAATTCAAATTTTGCATAGTTGTCATTCATCCAATGCTGACAGTGTATACACTGTCGGTGTAGGAAAGATTAATCCAAAGTTATCTCCATATTAATTGTTGCAACCAAAATTTTTCCTTTGCTAGATTGTTTGATGGCCGAACAGCTATGCATGGGGAAGTTGATTGAGAATTATGAATGGTAGGACGGACCACGGGCAAGAACGGCTGCACCCCGCTCCTGGCAGATATGTGCATTTTGCACAACGCGTAGCTTTGCTTGCACATGGTGTAATTTACTTTAAATAACGTGTAACTTTAAAATAAAATTTTATGGATCCCACACATGTTATTAAAATCCAGATACAAGATGAAATTTGGACTGTACAAATTTTTTTTGCCAAATTTTGGCCGTTAACTGCTCAGGGACGGTCATTCTGCAAGGATATTAGGGTTTCCATAAGGTTTTGCAATTTTTGTGATAGCAATGTTAAGTTTTCTGTTCACAGAATTCCATTTTTTTTTGTAGATTCGTCTGTAATTCCTCGATTCCTCGTGGTTGATTTTCTAGTAATGGTTTTGGGAATCCCATAAAAATTATTACTTGGATCAAATCGATTCTTTTTTGAATCTCCATACGTGCAATTCCTTCTACTCCAGAGGATATTTTCGTATTCTTTTGAACATAATTTTTAATACAATTTCTTATTTTTTGATCTTCTTGTAGAGCCTCAGAATAATTTTTTGGTTGTGCAAACCAAAGAGAATGATGACCTTGGGTTGTACCAAGTCTAAAACCAAGTGGATTTATTTTTTGTCCCATACTCCTCCACTACTATACCAAGTCTGATGACCGTACCTACCCCATTTCCATGGTAGGACTCGGTTGTAGTAATCAACATCAGAATTTATGTAGCTGCAGAGTTAGGGGTGACAGGTGACTGTCTTTCATACTTGTTTTGGTAAAGATGCCTTTGGTTTTGATGTGACTTTATGTATGTGTTTTTATATAACTAAACTGACTTGGTAAACGAAGAGCCTTGCAAACGTAGAACTTACCAACATCCGACTTCAGATTAGAAAGGATGGAATATAAATTAATGTCACACCCTGTGTCAGAAACGTAGCACTGTCATGCTCTAGATAAAACCAAAGGCACAAGGCAACGAAATTCGATAGCAGCCATCAAACGTTCATTACCATATTCAAATACGCTACAATATTCAAGTCTTATAACAGAGTGTATTATACTAAAATATTTATTAAGTTATTCACTAATCAAAAGATTGTCTCCATCTCTACCTAACACCCTTGCAAGCTATCAAAGTCTTTCTTAATGAATCTATCATCAACTGGACAATAAGAATAGTGAAATGCGAGTCACTCATATCCAATAAGTAGCACGTGTACTTCTTGATTGGGTTGAGCATGATAGCGCACATAATATATTTCAAACATTATTCATTGATGCATGTATATGATTTAATAAAAGTGTGGTCATCAAAACAATTCAAGTACATAGCCAATAACACAATATTCACATTCATAAATGGTTCATGATAGTTATTCCTTGATTTCGGATATCTAGTTGTTAGCTTGATTGGCTAACACGTACGACTTAATTGAATCTATTTGTTTGGATAGGAGTTTATTTGAGATAATTACTATAACACTTTTTGTGGTGTGATGTACGTGAGACAAAAAAGGTGATTGAAATTTGTGAAGCAAATTATTTAATTTCAAATCATCTCAATCCAAACACTGACGTAACACAGTCTCTTTTCATTAGGCTTTGATTAAGTCCCTCCATTTTATTGTCCAATTCAATCATCCCCGACTAAGTCATCCTTTGTTCTTTCAGAAAGGCAAATAAGTGGTTTATACAATCCAACAGAGTAATGAAAGATTTGCCAAGGGTCAGCCAAAACATGAAGCATTAATTCAGGTTCCATATTTACAGCTCAGTATAAGTGATCGGGTTTTGAAGATAAAAAAAGTGACTAGAATTAATATTTTAAACACAACGACTTGACCAATTTAAGGGTGGTTTGACCGCTAACTGGATAATTTCATAAGAACATAAAGTTTAAAATAATAAAATAACATAAAATAATCCAAAAAAAAAAAAAAGTACGCAAAAAAATTACAAATTTTTTTTCAAACGTGATTTTTCACCAAATTTGATTGGGTCGATAACTCCCTAGATTTCTATTAACTGGGATCAAATAATCTCTTTGCTTTCGGTTCGCTAGTTGAACTGGCATATCCAGTCCAAATTTCAGTTCACTAGTTGTCTTCAGCTACTCGTGTCTTGTCATGGAAATGTGAAAATTCCAACAAGAAAATAGACCTTGATAGGATCGCTGCTTTCTACAGAAAAATTTTTACATTTTTTATAAACATATTTCTTAATCACTATTTTACCTTACATACATTAAAATCATTATAGTATATTTTTCAATAAAAACTCCTGAAAATAGCAATTCAAACCGGCTTGAAGTTTTTCTTTTTTGAGCTTATGTGCGTTTGGATTAGCTCTATTTTGGGATGTTTTTGAAAAATTTTACTGTAATAGAGTTTTTATAGTATATTTTTAGAGAATATTTTGGGATATTTGAGAGTAGAAGAGTTTTTAGAATATATTTTGAGATATTTTTTAAATTTAAAAAAAAATTAGATTACTTTTTAGAGTACCTTTAGAATATTTTTTAAAAATTTTAATAGTATTTAAAAAATTAATTTTTGAAAAACTAATGAATCCAAACAGAATTTGGAAGAAAATAAAAAGTTAATAAACTAGCCCACAGAGAAGAACGGAAATGCCCCGAGATTTGATTCTTGGTGGGCAAGTTTGTCAAGTACATCAACGGTAGCTGAGAATTTTATTTTACCATTGGTGGGACCTATTGGTCTTGGGCAGGTCCAAAGTACACAAAAGTCATGTTGTGCTTTGCTGGATGAATTCTCTGAAATCTTCCGTACCTTCCAAAAGAAAACCAGTCCCAATGCCGTTGCTAATTCTTCAAGTCAAAGAAAAAGAGATTCCAGGGCAGATTCATGCTGTAATTTACTGCTTCTAATACGTCACTTTCTTATTTTATTGCGCACTGTATATTATAGAATTCTCGTTACTTGGCTAATGGCATAATTCAAGAATTAATATAGGTAGATTTGGACGACCGAAACCTCTTAATGAAAGACTTTTACATAATGGTATGGTCAGCATTACATATTAAGTGCTTTGACTGGAAATTTTTTTTTTTTTTTTCACATACCATCTCAAGGGTTTGCTGTCTCATAATAAAAAAAAAAAAAAACAAAAAAAATTGGTTTAACTGATTAACCTTCAATTTTATATGCCAAGAAACCAGTTTTCATTTCAATAACAGTTAGTGCTTATTTTTAGAAAAAGAGAAATAGATGCTCTTGAATATTCAGTGAAACTGCATTCCACTTGGATTCGTATGTTCTTGAAATGTCCTGTGCATCAAAAAATTGACTCTTCCTTGATATCACTACTACTCTTTTTTTCTTTCTTGGTCTAATTTTTCACTAGGATGGCTTTGGCTCCAATTTATTTTTTGTTGACAAGAGAACCCGCAACCGCTACTCGAGAGTGCGCACTGAGTAAACCCTATTGAAGTAAAACATTTTATTTTCAGTATGTAAAATCTTCATTATGAAGATTAAAACCCGCATTTCTCTTATTTTCTTAATGTCAAGAAAAGGAAAACCTTACGGTTAATGTTGAATAAGTAAACATGTTCGACAAATTAAAGGTCAACAAAAGTGAATTATGACTGAAACAAATGATAAGTATTTAACGTTGGAATATTTCCAAGCTGTATTTCTAGTCAGCTATCAATTAAGAAGTTTCCACGGATTTTTCATGCCTGTGGGTAGACATGAGAACGCTGACTTTTCCTCTCCTTAGTCGATTCTTCTTATTTGAGTTTGTTAAACACGTGGGATGGTGGCTCTTTTGCGTTGGGTCTTACAAATGGGAAAAGCACCATAAATCAGCCAGGCCGCAATTTGTTTCTTTGTCTGCAAGAAATTTTTTTTTTTTTAAATTTTGGAAGGAAACTTTGTTTGCAAGATTTGTTTGCATATATATAGTTGAACATGAATTGGTGTTTCCCTTCCCTTTTCTGCAACAGCAAGTGATAAATGATAATGGGGTACTTTTGCTTTTGCATATCCTGTCCAAAAACATTAGTGAAAGTTGACTGCTGAGTGGGAAGTAATTAAATCAAATCCAAGGGACATGTGTGCGTGTGTGCGTGCACGGTAGAAAATCAACTTTGAAGTAGTGGGAATTTGGCATGAAACTTGCTAATTTTGAGTAGACAACTTTGAAGTAGTGGGAATTTGGCATGAAACTTGCTAATTTTAACTTGCGTTTGATAATTTTAAATCTGAAATCTGAATACTATTAAATTATTGAATTGTTAAATATAACAATCCGATACTGTTCAATGTATATTACAATAAGAGATAAGTGAATAATTTATTACTTATTTTCTGAAGCAAGTTTTGTTTAGAAAATTCAGTGCTAGTTAATTAATTAAGATGTTTTATTTTTGGCTATCAAACGCCTCTGAGCATATTAAGATCTGAATCCATTAAATTTAAGTGTTGAACTGGGTTATCAAACAGAGCTTTAGTCTTACTAATATTGAATTACTAGTTTTGAAGTGGTTGGAATTTGACATGAAGCTTGCCAATTTTAGTCTTATTAATATTGAATTACTGGTATTGTCAACACAAGAAGATTGTCAACATAAAATATTTTGATAGTAATTATGTGTCCTAACTAAATTGTCCAATAATTGTAAAAAATGTTTAGGAACGAGCTAAATCCACACCCTCTCATACTAAATTCGCACCCTAAGCACCAATGAGACACTAAGTCCCTAATATCACTAAGTCAATTCGTAACTTTTAGTCAATTAGTGTATTTTGAAGTTATCCTTTCACACAATAGCAATAATTGCCTTTATATGACTATTCTTTTAATTATATCCTACTTTTTTTCATCTCTAAAATAAATTTCATGTTTTTCCTAACACTTGTGCCATATAGAGCATCTTCTACAAGATGATCATAGTATGAAACAACTTTTTCACATGAATTAACTACAAAAATCTCAAAAATTATCATCCAGCAAATCATAAAAGTAGCACTACTACATCAGATGATCATACAATAATCAAGACTTGAGTAGGATTTTACACAGATATCAAAACATTAGACTTTTCGAAGAAATATTCTTAGTTTGTAAAAAAAAAATGCTGATTATTACATAATGGAAAGTTAAAATCTCATATACCACACATTAGATAGGCTCAAAATAAATCTCTAAACACATGAAACTTTTCCATGAAGTTTACCATCATTAAAAAGCTTTTATAAATTTAGAGAGCATAAAATTTGAAAGATAAACTATTAGAATAAATAGTTAAAAAAAAATACTACAAAGCAAATTATTTCTATTGTGTGAGAGCATAAATTTGGAATGAAGAAAAGTTAGAAGGAAACACACTAATGTCAAAAGCTTTAATGCCATATTGGTATTTGGGGTGTAGATTTAGGATGTAAGTGCATGGAATTAGTGCCTCCCAAATGTTTATGATACTTCCATCCAATGTAGTAGACCAGTTTGGCTGAGCATTGGACTCATTCAAAGATTTTCTTTTAACTAATTTTGGTAGCTCATATTCCTATGCGAACATTAAATGCTAATTCATGTTCAATCAAAACTGCACACCTCTAATTTATCCAAATGGTAATTCCCAATAATCCTACTCAAAAAAAGCATAGTGATGTTACATATAGAAAGCTTAACAAACCAATTTTGCACTCATTAGACCAAACAAAACACTTAAAAACCAATATCATATTTGGTCATTCATTTGGACAACTGTCATCCTAAAGACGATGTAATGTGAGTGTAACATCAAAAATTGAAAAGAGGAAACTGGAGACGGGGAGCTAAAGCTGTGTTACAATGTGCACTTCAACGGTTACTCATGGCAACAAAGATAACCATATATAAGACTCTGAGGGTAGTCTCCCCTTGTCAGGTTAGTTGCAGATTCTGCAATTAAAGAATGCAAGGAAGCAGGCATCAGGGGTGAAGAAGCGACGCCATACCGGGGAAAACAAGGATTGTTAAAGGGACGAAGACTGAAATCTTCGAGACAAATTTTCGCTGCTTTTTTGTCTTCTTTTGGCTCTCTCTTTATGGGGCGCCAAGGAAGACAAGCGTTTGAGTCTCTCCTCGAGAGACCCTTTGCTGTTTAGTATGGGATATTCTTTTTAGAGGTGCAAAGGGCCGACCGAAAAGAAGAAATAAGGCTGGATTGGGCCTTGCTTGGATTGCTTGTTTCCGTCGGAAAATATTGTCGTTTTCCATGATCACATTTCTCTATCACATTTTTCTCTCACATATATCAAATCGCTACAGTAATTTTTTCATGAAAAATGACGGAAAATGCAATCCAAAGCTTTTCAGGACAACCATACTGAGCAATTCCCCCTTAACAATCCCAACTAATGATCCATTATTTGTGCACAAATTTTCACGAACCCCCGAAACTAAAACCAAAAGGGTATTACATGATGAATGTAGCTACTAGGATCTTGTGCAATTTGGTTCGGGTCACATGAGAATTATGGGTAGATACATACACATTTATAATTCAGGTAAATTTTTTATGTACTGACAATATATATACTAGCGATTCTAGATGTATGTCACATATATAAGATTTGGTGTTCAAATTCAAATTGAAACAATGTGACATGCATCTAAATCTATCATATATACATTGACAGTGCATGAAACATCAATCCTTATAATTTATTACAATTGCATAATTGCTTGTTACAATTAGATCAAACCATCAGTGCTCAACTTCTTCAGAATGTGGTTATAGGCATTAGCTGCTGCCCTATTCAGTGCAATCAACCTCTTGGAACAATATTTTCCTGTTCCAGCATATTCATGGCCGACATAAACTTCAATCTCTCCTGTTTCTTTCCACATGTCAACGAATTCAACTTTTAGTCCATTCTTCTGGCATATTTCATGAAGTTTTGTTACCGGATGCGTTTTAATAGTTGTGAGAGTGATCATCGGTTGCAACAAGTTCTTCACTACCTGTCAAACCACCAAAAACAAAATCCTATGAGGTGCTAATGCTTTGTGCTACCAAAAACATGATCAATAATATCTGTCAAACCCTTGGAAACAAACATGTCACATAAATATTTTGTTCTCTTTTGTGGTGAAACAGAAGTGTTGTTTTTTCTTTAGAATACTTTGGCTGCCTTATGTAGACAAGTAATGGTGGGATCAATACAGACAAGTAATATCTCAACAAACACTGCACCTAATCAACAACTTATAGGTTAAACAAAATTTTAAAAAAAATCGATGCTTATTGGACAACCATCAATTTTTTGTTTTATGGTTTAAGTTCAATTCTACCAAAAAAGTCTATTTCAAAAACAATTTCAAAGTCAATACTAGTTCTATTGACTAAATATGTTTTAACCAAGTTGGTATTTTTATATAGCGAAGTAATGCATCTTCTTCAGTTGCAACTTGCAAGTTGCAGTTTGCTCAGTGAACTTGGACGTAAGAGAAAGGAATTATTCTTGGACACGGAAAATACTGCAGCAGCCATCAGTCTACCACAATTTAACTTGACTACACAATTTGTCTACCCAAATCTTAGATAATCTGTATGCATCCAAGAAAAGGATTAAGTACTAAATCGATACTCAACTATTGCATCAAGATTGAAGGACCAAGAAAGCTACCCATTTGTGTTCTTTGTTTTTGCGCTTACTTTGTTCTTAGCAGCTCTTTATAATTAATGTGCCCAAAATGCTTTTCGTTTATGGCATTTGGATCAACTGATCTAATCATAGAGGAATGTCTGTAGAGAAAGATTAATTTAATTACCTGCCATGTTGTGTCCAATGAAGAGTTGCTGTCAAGAAATATGGCACCAATTAAGGACTCAACAATGTCTGCAAGCACTTTCGGAGCAGCAACTAACCCTGTGGAGTGCAAAGGGTAGGCTGAAATTGCCTCTGAAAATTCTTGAATCTATCAGCCAAAAACAAATAAGTTCATTAGTAATTCAGTAAGATGTTCTTTTTTCTGGCAGAATGGATTAAAAAGCAAACCAAAGATACGAGTAGGGTAGTGGCAAAACCGGCATATTCTAACATGTCCATTGATTTAAATAACATTCTATTTGAATATCACCAAACTGTTATGTAGAAAAATTTTTAACCCAAAATCAGAAAACCAAACGTTTGCAAAACTCTTATTCCATTTACTAACTCAATTAACTTATAATGAACCAAAAATCTAGTCAAAGAGGAGAAGATATTTTCACGTAACTTTAAATATATTTTTTCCACATAGTGCAGATCGACATTTGACTTGATCATGATAACTACTAGACGCAATCCAAAGCCCCATCCTCCCAACCCTCCAAAAAGAAGAAAAAAAAAAACAAGAACCTAATTAGAGGGTACATGAAAATTGTAACAAAAAACAAAACAAAACAAGAAACCTTGTCTTTCTTATACCTGTCGACTAAGAAGAGGCTTCTTATGACGTAAAAACTTATGCAAATTGCACTTCACAGCCACACGTGCAAGTTTCTCAGTATTAACATTGGCCGCACGAAGCTTAGTGAGATTTCCTGGTAAAAGTTCAGGATACAGAAAATAATGTTCCTTTGCCATCAGCAAATTCAGTACTGAATCACCAATATATTCAAGTCTTTCATAGGATAAACAGTTTTCTTTAAAGGATGAGTCGGTGAAGGCTTGTTGTAATAAACTTGGGTCATGGAATTTGTAGCCTATTATCTCCTCAATTTCTTCTTGTGAAGACTCATCCATCATCAACTCTTCTTCTTCTTGTAGGGTTTTGTTTTTTGCTTCATCTTCTTGGTTGTGGGATTCAGGGTTATCTGCTGAAGGATGGTTTTGGTGGGGTTCCATGGCCTGATCAGAGAGAAGAAAAGGAAAGGAAAAGAGCCGTGGCTTGTTTGGAAAGGTTGAGGGATTGGGTTTCCTTGAGTGCATATAAATAGGGATTGAGGGGGATTTGAATAAAGGGTCAACAAATGGGGCGGTAAAGTTTACGAGATTATGTAATATTTCTTGCAAGGTTGGAGAAACATCTTAGCCGCGTACAGAATATAAAGCAAAAGTCTCTGTGTGTGCCGTGGGGTTTATTGAATTTTTGAAAATCGGATTTACCCAAAATTTGAACTACTAGTAAACCATCGAACCAAGTAAAGGTAGGATCTGGCCGAAAAGGAAAAAACAGAGAGAGATTAAATTAAATGTAAAAGTAAACACAGGAGTAATTGCAAATGGGAAGCGTTCCTTCCATATGTCATCAAGTACAAGTTTGGGAAAAAAAATGTCGTTGAAACCAACTGATGTGAACTCTGTTGATGAGGAAATTCACAAACAACCAAACTTTGGATTGATGGTGATTGACACAAGTTTGAATGACGGAAAATCCTATTTGAAACCCTCTTATCCCCGTGATTACGAACCTTCTTGACCCATAATCAAATGAACTGGCAAACCTTAGGAATTGATAGTAGGTGCTACAATCAAGGGATGGTGAACTTGATTGATAAGCTACCAGCTATATGAACCCAGTTGATGACGAAATTCGTGAACAACCAAAGCCCAGATCGATGGTGATTGACACAAGTTTGAATGGTGGAAAATCCTATTTGGACTTCTGTAATCCTCGTGATTATAAACCTTCTTGAACCACGATCAAACTAACTAGCAAACTCTAGGAATTGATAGTAGGCGCCACAATCAAAGATAATGAACTTAATTGATAAGCCAAACGAATACAAAAACAATTTTAAATGTTCAAGAAAAACTCGTAGAGCCAAGAGAGCAATCTCTCAAGAATAATTTCTGAAATCTGTCATATGTATTATTGAAAGAGAAAAATGATGCCTTTATGTTTCTCGACACAAACTCCTAACAAACTAGGCCAAACAAAAACACAACTAATTGAACCTTGTAACCCGGCCCATAACCCTAACTAAAGGGACAGATCCAAGCTTTAAGAGTTGATCCGTTTAATTAGCCACTAAACCGAATTCAAAACAACTAAACTAAAGACTATCTAATGTCATAAGTAACGAGAACATGGGCTAGAGACATTCGGCCTTCACTCCTTTTCTTCATCCTGGACTTGGAGCAAGGTAACTACACTGCAAGGTTCAGCTTTATCCATATTTGGCGATCCAATCGAATCTTGAACGACTTGAACCATGGCTTGTAAAGACCCGTTAAATCTCTTGGCTCGAACTCGCGTCATTGGTTCCACTGGCACCACCACGGGATCAACTTGAGCAGCTTGAATAACTCCATCAGTCCTCTCCTCTTGAAAAGAATTTGCCCTCAAATCGACCACATCGCCTACAAGAAACAGAGTTAAGTCAGATACAATGAATGTGGCACTAACTTTGTACTCGCCTAGTAACTCGAGTTTGTAGGCATTATCGTTGACGCGTTCGAATACTTGGAGTGGTCCATCTCTACGTGGTAGTAGCTTGCTTTGACGCTAGATCGGGAAACATTCCTTTCTGAGGTGAAGCCAAATCTAGTCTCCTAGTTCGAACACTACGCACTTGCGCCCCCTTGTTCACCTGTGTAGCATATTGCATTGTCCACTTCTCGATATTAGCTCGCACCTTCTCATGAAACTGGTGGACAAACTTTGCCTTTTTCTTACCATTTAAGTTGACATGCTTAGAAACAGGAGTAATTGCATTTTGGCCCCTCGAGCTTATGAAATGTTCCTACTTTGCACACTTTAGGACCCGTTTCATTTAATTTCCATAATCACTGTCTATGCTATGGGATTGTCTTCGGTTGATTATTTTAACTGATTTTAAATTCTGATTTTGGAAAATCAATTTTTGTACTATTCTCAATTGGTTTTGTATTCTAATTATAGATTTTTTAATGACAAAAAAAGTTAAAATCTATAATCACCCAAAAGGTAACTTTTGTGTATTTTGATTATTTTCTATAACCAATTTCTATAATCAGATTTTGTAAAATCTAAAACAACTGAGAACAAAGCCTATATATAAAGGAAGTGAGAAGGGATATCTGTACTATATATAAAGAGAAAGAGGAGGGATTGTATAAACTATTTGTGTCACTTTTTATAATTTCTATTTTACACTCCAACTAAAGGGCAAGATGATACCATCTTCTCCCTAAAATAAACACGCATCCTCATTTTTCTAGCTTAATAGTTGTCAACAATTTCCTATCTAAAAAAAAGGAAGGCAAGAAGGAAAAACATATAATTCTAATTCTTTCATTCGTATTTAAAAAAAAGCCTCCAAAAACTATAAAAAATTTAATAACTTTTTTCTCCAAAATTTGTTCTTTTAGATTTGCACAAACATAGAGTGTGTTTTTCTCACTAGTTACTGTGGTTGTGATGAGTTGGTTAATAAGAATGGGTTTCATCAAAATACATGAGTGTTTGATAAAAATATTCAAAATAGATTTCAATATCAAAAAAAAATTTTTTTTTTTTTTTAAAATTTTCCTTTTTTCTTTCCAGCCGACCACTCAAGTAAAAAGCTATGTCTGTCCTGAGATAGCTTGAATTTAGTTAACTAGGCCCGTATTGTATATTGGGCTAAGCCTCATAAAATATGACCTGGGCTTGGATCGCACAAAGCTCAACTCATTTAAAGCTAATTCTGATTACTACATTATGTGTGTGTGTGTGTGTGTGTGTATATATATATAGTTATACAGTATCTATGAATTAATAATCTCTATTAAGTAATAATTTTTCCTGGTTCAAACTTGGACTAACAAGTTAAATTAAGAAATGCAATAAGATTACATATCATATTTTTCTAAAGTATGAGTCTATTATTATTTTTTAATTTAAATCTACTTGAATGTCATCCCTAATTTTTCTTATTGCATCTAAAAGTTTTGGACTTGAATTCTCATATTGCAATATGAAAAAATTATGAAGAGTTATTGATGCTTTGAGTGTTTCTTTCACCTAGAGGTGTCAAATAAAATCATTTAACTAATTTTATCCATTTTCGCCTATTAATAATTGAATATGGGTACATTAAATTTTTATATATGGATATAAATGGATTACCCAATTATATCTCATTTATAAATGGGTTACCCAATTATACCCATTTAAATGGGTATAATTGGGTAACCCATCTAACCCATTTAACCCATTTAACTTATATTCCCAAACCTTTTGTATTTCCCGGGATGAAAAAGAGCTGGCTGGAGTTTTTTCAGGTGGAAAAGACTCAAATTCTTGAAAATTGCAATCTACATCTGTAAAAGTATCCCAATTATTTTCTTGAGTAGTGATGGGTCTGGTGAAGAATTTCAGGGAGAAAAAGAGAGGGTCTCTAGAGGATGAGCAGAGAACTGGAATGGATATAGCATTTCTGAGGAACCCTTTACTCATTGTCCCACGAGAAACTAAAGATTGGGCGAGATTATAGGTAATTAGGAAGAAATGGAGCCGGCGGTGGTGGTGGCTTCGGGGGCGGCGGCCGGAAGGATTTGAATTATTGTGTGTGCACGGTGAGTCTGGGCGTTCGCTGGGAGTGAAGAAGTGAAAAGGGAAATTTTGAAACTGGGAATAATAAGAAGAAGATTATTATTTAAAGCAATAATAAAAAGATTCAATATAAAAAATGGTTAATATAAGTACAAAATGGCATAAATTGTAACCAAATTATTTAAAATACGCTGTTTTGGTCAATAAATTTTTTATTTAGTTAAAATAGTCACTCGACTAATGCGGCACATTTTTTAATTTTGATTAGTTGAGTGGCCAATTTGCTTAAGAAAAAGTTTATTGACTATAACAAGAAATTATAAAAAATTTAGCAATTATTTACGCGATTTACTTTCTATAAAATGGTGCAAGTTTTGAAATATTTGATAATGGCTAACTTTTTGTATTTCCCAAACTATTTTTTATGTTAAATATTTTTGTTTTATTTATTATATTTATTTGTTGGTTTTATCTTATCACTTTATTTCCTTGTAATTTATTAATTTGATCATTTTTTAGCATCATTAATTTATGACAAATTTTAGCTTCCTTTCTTACCTTTTCAAATGAAATTTTAAATTTATAAACGAAAAAATACTAGGGTTCAAAGTTTTGGATTAAATTTTTTTGTTAACTTTCATATTATTTAGTCCAAATTTTTAGATTCTCATTGTTCAATTATTAAATAATATGTAATTTTGTGACATGGCATGCGGATGGGAAAAAAATTGATAATTAGACTTATTTGGCATAATAAGTAAATATTTAAAATTAATGATGGGTGTAAAATGGTATAAATTGATAATTTAGTTTACAAAATGAATTTATATGAGCTTGTAAAAATTTAGAATAAATGGGTTATAAATGGATAATTGGGTTACCCAACTCATTTTTTGACTTACCCATTTATATCCATCTAATTAAATGGATATAAATGGGTTGACTCACTTATACCCATTACCCATTTTACCCAACTCAAACCCGCCCAAATCACCCATCTTGCCACCTCTACTTTCACCTAATAGGCTCCAGACCTAGTGTATCATCCTTAACAACTTCGTCATTAACAGGATTTTCAGTGATGTTAGTAACAATTGCTTATAAACTTGAAGACATTCACAGAATTAAATTATACTTGCAAATCAGGTAGATAATCAAGTAGATATAGATTGATTTATATTCCTTATACTTTTAGCCTCCTTTTATTAATTGAATAATTCATATTCTTAAAAAACAAAATAAAACTTCAGTTAATTAAATGAGTGTCTTCAAAACTGTAAATACACTAAATAAATTAAGAGTAAATCTTTCCTACACTGACGATGTATATACTATCATCGTTAGATTCATGACATGTGTGCAAAAGTTGAATTTTAAATTTAAATTTTGCATAGTTGTCATTCATCAAACATTGATAGTGTATATACTGTTAGTATAAG